CCCCCCCCCCCCCCCCCCTTCCAATCGTCTGTTGATTTTAGATGGCGTGCTCATGAATGTGTAGTTGTTGTTAGTTTAGATATTAGTTGACTAGATCATTAGTATTAGAACGTAATAAACTTATATTTTAAAGAGCAGCTGTCTGTGATTACTTTGTGCATGTGTATTGTGATAATAGCTGTATATGTGGTCTGCTCGAACTTAAACCTTCACTTTCACTCTGAATGTGTAATAGTGCTGACTGTTGACATTGCGAGTGAACACTAATTATGAGACTTAGTTTATTGTTTGGTTATTGGTCCCTGTTCGCAGGGTGGTGCCCCGTTATTATTAATAATCATTAATAATTGTTACTGACATTAATAATTCTATTGATGTCAAGAATTTAGTTTCTTAGATGCTGATAACCCAAACACGCTCCTTTACGTTCCCAACATATTGCTGATAACCCATGTCAGGCTATGTTATTTCCAACATATTGGTGCCCCCTTTTTGAGGCTATGTTATTCCCAACACCGGCATATCCTGACACAAGGACGGCATGGGAACCAGACACCTCCCGACGTATATGGAACCCTATTTCCAGCCGTGGCCCAGTAACCCTTGACCTCAGAAATATTGGGGCAACATAACACAAACGTTCAAGCCCATTCCTTTAACTGTGAACAGCTTGACCTGCATATTCACAGGGTGGAGCAAAGACTCAGATTACATAAAAAAGGCAAATGAGGTGACTGCTCGGACCAGAGAAGGGCCTGTGGCCTTAGATGATAGATGTTTCTGGATCTCTATTTTAACATATGGGTTCCTCAACTATTATTGGATATGGTAAAAGAATTGTATCAGAAGCAAAACATAAAAACGATGCCTTTATTTGTGTGTAGAGTGTGGGAAAATATTTAAGTCCTTTCCAGTGCGTATCAACACACTTGTCTTAATAGTTTGATATTTTGGTGAATGTCGAGAGTTAGATGAAAAGATCAAAACCACCCTTATATCTGTCCACTCAATAGAAGGTTACAGCCATAAGCCTGTTAGCATAGCTTAGCACAAAGACTGTAAACAGGGAGAAACAGCGAGTCTGGCTCTGTCCAAAGAAAATAAAAAAAAAGTGTAAGTTGTAAAGGGGAAGTCATGATGTCACCACAAGGTTTTAAGGCAACCAGCTGAACAACTGCTGGAAGTCACTGCACCCCGCCAGGAAATAGTTTAGCACATAAACCCCCATTAAACCAGAAAGTGTGTTTTTTACACTGCTTTCTTTATGGATTAATAGGAGCAGTATTCTGAACATTAATATAACAGCAAACACCCTTTCGGTTCAACCTCAGGTACACATGATTAGCTCTGTCAGTACTTTCAGCGTAGTTTGCGCTGTTAGTATCGTCAGCTATGAGCCCCCGACATGTTGAGAGCCAATCGAATTGCTCCCAATCTCAGAACTGGCACAAACAAGCTAATTAAGAGACATGCTCATTTTCTTACATGCAGAGAGAGCCAGTTGTATTGCTAAGCTAAGCTAGCTAGCACATATTATTTAAGGCGTATTTTTACCATCTACTGTACATGAGTGCTTAGAATCAGATTGTTTTTATGCCACACTCAACCCATGTACAAGGGTATTCCTCCTTTATCAAAATTATTATTGAATATTTTTTGTCACAGATGATAAAATGTGCAATCATATACGGTGGATATGCACAATGGAACAATAAACTGGCAAAACACAGTTCCAGGCCAAATTTGTGCAAGCCAGGAGGATATTAAGAGACATTATTCTCACCAGGCAGGAGGCCTTCCTCTTTAGAGGAAGGGGGTTGCCATGAGGAAAGGACTGTCTGTGCTTTCAAAGATTTTGTCTTTAATCAGCGGATCTGCTGGTATTAGAGGTCCGTCTGAGCCCAAGCCCCTCACCCTTAACCCCTTCCATCCCTCACAACATGAGAAAGGTGTGTGTGTGTGTGTTGGTCAGGGGGGTCTTCAACCGTGGGACTAGGAAGACGAGCTGCCACAATGGGCCCATAACTGCACCCTTTGGCAAGCCCACAGCAAATGCAGCTTAGCATAATTCAAAAATACCAGACGGTGTGTACTATGGTGCACGGCTAAACCCGCAAAGCAGCTTTCTCCCTCTCTCATCTCTCTCTGCTCCTCTCCACCATCTTCCAAAAACACTTCCGCACAAACAGGAATTAAGGGCCCTGCCAAACAGTCTATTTCCTCAGAATAACATGTCAGGCCATCAGAAGTTGTCAGTCTTAGTTGTGCCTCTCAACAGAGGACTCATTAAGTGGAACAGGCCACAGCTCACACCACGGTAAATAAGGATAATTTTAACTGACAAAATATAATAAATCCAGAATACTTTAGTGCCAACATTAATCATCAAAACATATTAACCATGAATATACATTTATTTTAGGTCCCGTCCATGTCTTATACTAAGGCTGGTTCAGAAAGAATTGACAACATGAATACAGAATCAAATTTGGCTCCATGCTGTGACCTGAATCCAGATTACACCCCACCACATCTGGAATAACATTTAAAAGCTGCATGGCATACTGATAGTGCTGACATTGATTTCAGCTGATAGACGGATATGATGTCAGATGGTAGTGACATGTTGTTTTCCCTTCAGCCAGCCTCTTGTAACATTACACCAAATTTATACCAGTAAAATTGTTTAAACAAATTCTTGACTTGCCCTGTGCATGCATGTGGTTGGAGAACTGTGTTGGTAAATCCTTGGCTCTTGTAAAGTTTAAGTGTTGTTGAGTTCACGGTGTCCTGTCGTGTCCTTGAATGTAATCTACTTGACTAAACATGATGTTCTGACTCAACCCCGGTGTTTGCAATGCTTATGAAGAGGCGAAGAGAGGAGCAGATGGCAACAGAACAATACCATAAGCGCTAGTACGGAAGGGAATGTGACAGTATTGTGCAGCTTAATGCAACATGGAAGAAGATGCCCACGGGGATCACATCATAAGCTGTATGAGTCTCCTACCTGGACGCCCTGTAGAAGCCGAATGCATCTCTCCTTGACGTCGTCAAAGGGACACCGTTTAGAGAGCATGAGGAGGTGAGTCAGGATGTCATTCAGGTCACTGTTGGGAGGGCTTCCTGAGGCTGGGGGTGACAGTGGTATGGGCCTGATGTCCTCCACCTTCCTCATGACATCCTGGCGGATGTTCTCCATGGCTTCAGATCTGGAGTTGGCATCCCGGCTGCCCAGCCCGTTCCATCTCCCCACAGACTCCTGGACCTGCACTTCCATCTTTTGATGTCGGGCTAACGTTTCTACTGTCTTACAACAGGCTTTTCAAGAAATAACACATGGAACAGTCATTGTTTACGTCACAGCATAAAAGAAAAACTATGGGCGAGCATGCACCTATAATGTTACTTGAGTAAAAACAGCATAGCAGGAATTAGAGCCCGACTGATAAAATGGCCAGACAATACTATTGCCCGATATTAGTGTATGATAGATATATGGTACCAGCACATATGTCAGCCAATAAATAACAAGAAATTGCACAACATAAATGTCAAAATGTGTTTTCAAATTGCAATTACATACAAGGAGCACTTACAAGTTTATTTCTCAACTGTAAAATGCCCCATCAATAAAGGTGGTGTGCAAATTGCTAATTCCTCTTAATATGGTATTTTTTAATCGCAATATACTGTAGATCCTAGTATATCCAAGTACTATTTCTTGGAAATCTGTTAATGGATAAAATAACCAGACAGGGATGTCAGTTTTTAAAATAATCCACCATATTAAATATGACAAATCTGGCATCACATTGATGCACAAATTACAATATTACTTCTAATTGCTCGCCAACAAACCTATATCACATATCAAAAGGTATAGATACATGGGTATATTTCAACATATTGCATATCATATGAAGCCTAAAGAATAAAAAAAATATAGACGGTTATCTATTTCTAAACTCTCAAATAAAAAGTGGCAGTCGGTCTGTGACGGGCTTACAGGGATTTAAACCCAGATCATGCTTAAAAATGGTAATAGTGGTATTTGATTTGATACCAATTTCCAAGAAAAAGAGCGTGGTTAGAGAGATTATTTATTGGTGTTACAAGCCACCATAATCTGGCAATTAAAGTGGCATTGCCACATAACGTTTGTAAAAAACAATTAACCGACGTTGCTTCATATGGTTCATGACTTTATATTTAAATAGACATATCGTGACTGAAAACATACAAATACGCAACTTGTCAGTCAGTCCATTCAATCTCTCTCTCTCTGGCTTCCTTTCGTGTCAAGGCTCTCAAGCTGCCCGTTAACAAAGACACCATTAAAGTGCAACAAAAACGCGACCAAAACAACATTGCTACACACAAACCTTTCAGTGTGCACCAAACACAGAAAGTGTCATTCTCTAATACTCACTTTATCCACATTCTTTGGTGCAGGTCTTCAGGTACGGGACGTCTTGCCACAGCGCTGACCAGTAACGTTAGTCCCCACGGTAGACAGGAGAAGAGGCAACAACTTGAGGGTAAACATTTGATTGGCAGGACAGGCCGGCCAATGAGAGGAGTTCTTGGGCGTTCTAGGTTGGATGCCGTGAGGTATTCTCGCAAATGATTGGTTGGAGCCGCCGGGGGGGGAGGGTATCATGTGAGTAGAATTCTCTGCGTTCGGTGAGTGTTTTATGTGGTAGTTTTTAAGAACTACATCTCCCATCATACCTAGAGCAGCCCCTTCTCTTGTTTGTCTGCAGGCCGAGGAGAGAGAGAGAGAGAGAGAGAGAGATTGTACATTTCCATTTGATTCGTTTCTGCCAAACTGCACACTGAGACGGTCAATGCCAGTTAAATCTTATAAGCAGGCAACTATCATTGTCTCTACCAAGTTTTAGTTTGTTGTGCCTTGTAATGAATGTCTGTGTTAGGGACTAAGGTGTTTTTTTTGCTAAATCAACAAAAGATTCATAAAGCTGCAGAGGAAAACCCCAAAAGCTTAACCATTTCCACGGGAAACGTGTCCTTTCTTTCAGTGGCACTGACCTGCCACATTGCAGACATGCTGCCTTTAGGTGCAGCAGGCTATTTGCATACTGTTTTTCAAGTGTATACAGGGTGATTGATTGATTTACTGGTTAAAGACACTTTGCTTACAGATAAGAGCCTATCAGAAAATGGCGTCAACAATTGTTGTTGTGAAAGTGGGCATGTCTGCCTAATACTCCACCTTCCCATTTTGCAGACCTAAAGGGTCTCATTTCCACACGTTAAACAAGGCCATAGCTTTGACACTGAGGTCATGTCCTGGGTATTTTGGGGGATGTGTGTGTGTGTGTGTGTGTGCGTGCGTGCATATGGTTAAAGAAAAAATATCACATTTGCCATGTTTGAGTGCTAAAACAAATGTAACATTAATGCCATCTGTGTTGCCCTCAACTTCAACGGGTCTGATTTTTTTTCACTTCAATGCACCGTTTTTTGTAACATTTACAGTCTAAAAATATGAACTTTGGATACTTATTCAGCAATGTGTCTGGACATTATCAAATACTATACATGTCTAAAAGCCTACTGGTTAGTCATTGTTCTCACCAAACAAGGCAAAATTACTTTCAATGCATAACAAGCTTTTCTTGAAAGGTGCATGTATTACAAACACTGTGGGCATTCAGAGCACCTAATCTACAACAGATCCCCTTTGTAAGCATCCTTATGATGACAAATAGCCACCGTGTTAGTTTATATTCAAACACTGAATGTATTAAATAATTTGTAATTCTAAAACATTTAATTTAATCTTGCTCTTGCTTGTTTTTAGGGGGAGTATTCTAACTGTATCAACATTATATCAACGTGTCAGATGGTGTCTCTGTGATAAAACCTTCAACAGATATCACCGAGTATGTATTTTAGACATTGATCATACACTCGTACATTGAAACGTCTGTAACAGTCTGGAGGAAGTGAGGAAGGATCACAGTGCGCAGGCGGAACCAATGTAGGAGGGAAATTTAAAAAGTCCGGACTGCCTGTGACAGGAAGCGTACTGGACAACTGAAGAAATCAGTTAGCTATAAACACAAGCAGTCGGGGAATATTAATATACAAACATATGATTAGTTTCGAAACGAGTACCTACCTCAATGTCCCGAAATGGAGACTTATAACAACCAGGTAACACTAGCAAATCAGCCGTTAGCTGCGAGTGTGGCTAACACATTAGCTTTGTTTACTTTCGCTGTCGTCGTTAGTTAAGCTAGCTGCTAACGTTAGGTTGTCTGGAGGAGCTTTTCTACATGGTTTTGTTACGTAACGTTACGTTTATCTGGATTAATTTACGCAAGGGCAGTTACAAAGGGCGTTACTGCTTTATGTTTAGATAATTGTCTTAGCGTGGTTGGTATACAAAATGGTTTGTTTTCGTTTGCAATTTTGCAATTCAGCTTTTATGAGTTTAACGGTGGGCTTCTTGTTGCTGAAAGCTACTACACTTGGCTAGAGTACAGTACGTTAGTTATCGTCAGGTAGTTTACCAGTTAACGCTAGATCTTCACACGGGAAAGTAGTCAATTTGTCTGGTTTCAGCTCCACATATTGAAGAAATGTGAATTTAATTTATATACCTCCTCTTTTTGTCTGCAGACTTTAGACTCACCCTCAAAAAACAGTTACATCGGGAGCTATTACCAGCCTCCAAACAGGATACTACCAATAGCAAGACAGCTCGAGTTCCCTGTCCACTCGTCCATCAGGGTGGACCCACAGATGACCAGTCCTCGGGTGTCCCACACCAAACCTAATATTGACAGCACAGGTATGGCACAGCCATTATTTCTATCTTCTTGTCTCATAACATGTTTTTGTTTTGTCCACCGGCTGTAATGCCCAGGTACGCCTTTGTGTTCTCCTTAACTCCTCTTCAGCTGTTGTGGATGCACTGAAGACCCTCCAGGAGAAAATCAGGCGGTTGGAGCTGGAAAGGAAGCAAGCGGAGAAGAGCTATAGTCAATTCTCCCATGATGCTCGGAGGCATCAAGAGGTCACAGGCTCTCACACGGTGCCCAGTCATCCAGCAGCTGGCCTGCCTGCGACAGATGACTCGGGAAAGAAAGGTAAGTGGTGGAAGCTGCAGAGGGAGAGGCCACTGCCAATGCACATGTCCTTTCTGTAGATGTCTTCTAATCATTGTGTTTATAATGACAGAGCTGGACTCAAAGCTGCAGTCTGCAGAGGCTCGGTGTAAGGTCCTTGAGAAGCAGCTGGACTACATAAGGAAGATGGTTGAAAATGCGAAGAAGGAGAGGAATGTCCTCATGGAGAATCAGGTGGTCCAAAAGATTACAAACCGAAAGAATCAAATCTGTCTAATATATTACAGAGAAATGATGAGGAGTCAAACATGCTTAGTATTTTTCAAACAAGATTGAATTATTGAAATGTTTTTAAATAATCTCTGTTTACCTCCGCACTAGGCTTCACTGCAAAACCAGCAGCCGTGCATCTCAAACAGCCCATCTCAGCGGGATAAGCTGGAGAAACTCGAATCAGAGTGTCTCAAATTGAGTCGGACACAAACTCTGGCTGAGGTTAGTCACAGTTTCTTACACTTGATTAGTCTAAATGCTAATCATCACAAGCTGAATGAGGTTATTTTAATGCTGTTTTGCTTTCAGACGAAGCTTGCTATTCTGGAGCAAAAACTACTGAAAGAAGAGCATGAGCGTAAACTTGTGCAGGAAAAAGCCGACCAGGTCAGTCCACACACACTCCACTTTTCGGATCATTTCAAAAATGACAAAAATCTACATTTACACTTCTCCTTACCTCCAACCTGCAGAAAAAAGAAGCAATTTTTAAAAGAAATCTGAATTCCATTAATTTTACTTCCTATTAAAGATATCTAGTCTGTTTGAAGTTCCATACAGCTTACCGTCTAATAATGGTAAAATGCCAACAAAGAATCTTGAAAAGGAAACTTAAACCAGGCTATTTCCATGTCCACAGCTCCAGAAGGAGTTGGACATCAACTTTCGATTGCCTGTTCCAACTGCTGAAGAAACAAAACCAAAGAAGAAAACAAAAAAGACCACCAAGGTACTTTTCTTATTGATAAAGCTAATTAACTGCCTGTATTTAGTTGATGAGAAAAACATTTGTTTGTACATAGTAGTGCTAAAAGCTGTCTTTTTCCTCAGAAAACCTCTCGACAGAATGAGCTGCCATCGCCAAGGGGCCCAAGGCACAAACAAATGCCATTTGTTGCAGGAACGGTACGTCAGTTCTGATGCTGTGCACTTACTGCATTATCATTAACTCTTTTCCCTTATTTGGTTTCTTTCGATTCATTTTAATTGTCTCTCTCCGTCGCAGTCGACAAGCCCGAGCCATTCGGTACACGCCAACGTACAGAGTATACTTCACATGATGAAGCACCATCAGCCCCAGCTGTGTGAACGAGTGAGCACGCTGCACAGGTCTGCTTGTGGAGCCAAGAAAAGCCTCCAGAGGGACTTCGCTTCATCTTCTACCACTTTTCACGAGCCGCTGGGCTCACTTTCTGACCTGCTCTTGGCTCTGCAGGACGAGCTAGGACAAATGAGCTTGTGAGTAAGCTTCTTTTATTTATTTTTATTCCTATTTTTTACACATTTAATAATCTGTGTGTGTTTTGTCAGTGAGCATCAAGAGTTGGTGCATCAGATAGATGCAACCCAACATTGCCAGCAGAGGCAGGACCTGCAGAGAGAACTGGAGAGGTTGGTCGCCAGAATGGAGGAGAAGAGAGCTCAGATCACAAAGCTCCGCAAACACCAGCAGACGGTATGTGAACCATCATTCAGTACAATCCAGCGACAGGCTTTGTAGATGTGTTAAATATTTAAGCATGTCCAGTGTTTGTCTGTGGTGCCATCCCTAACTGTGTACGTAGTTTAGGTCACCAATGTCGCTGTCTTCGGCTCCTGCACAGGTCCATAAATTGACTCAGAGCCAGCCATGTGCCGAGGAACACACGGCCAAGAAGTTGAGTGGGATCAAACCACCTGTTCCCTCTCCCGTTAAGGCTAAGAGTAAGGGAAGGAAAGGTGGGACCACTCACAACAACCTGCAACTTCTCAGAGAGACCCAGAAGTTCAGAAACAGCCTGAAACAAGACGACATCTCCTGGGAAACATGAGGTTCTCTGAAAGACCTTTCTGTGATACTACAGCTGGTCGAACCACAAGACTGCCTTTGGTTCCCTGCAGCCGGTTTTTCCCACTCTTCAAATGGCCTCTGGGACGTTTTTAGTGTTAGAGGGAAAGAAAGGGTTGATTATGTGTTACTTATGAAACCTATTAAAGCAATAGGTGTTTGACTTGAATGAAATCTATCACATACAGGGTACTTTATAAATAGAGGGTGTAATGTCTATGAATCATGACCTCACCCTGTCTCATCTCAAATGAAGCTGAAGTAATCTATTTTTAATATTTTCACATTTTAATAAAGTTTATTCTCTCTGCATATTTAAAAAATATTTTTCTTCACATTTTACTTCTGCCAACACAAATGTTTTTTTCTCCACCACCAGTTGTAATTCATACTTTCAACCACTAGGTGGCAGTGCTCATCCTATTTCTATTTTACAAATATGAAGGCCGTCACCCCACACACCCTGCAGTTGCATGTATAATATTAAGACATGACTTTATAATGTAGCGTGCAGCATCAAGCCCCTACTGTCTTGAATAGATGGACCAAAAAGCTCTGTGAGCTCCGTTACAGCAGCAGGCTGGACAGCTGAGTACATGTCGCCCTGACCACAGGACAAACGGATGTGGTTTTTATCGCTGCGCACTAGTGGGAGGAACTGCTTTTTGCCACAGGATTTTGCTATCTCACACTGCCAAGACAGCCAAATTCTCTCAAATTCATCAATGATAGCTCTTACTAATTGTAGGCTGGTCAGATGACGGGACACCTTTTCTTTGCTCTCTGTTTATTTCAGTCAACCACTTTTTTATGGGAGCAACAACCACATGCTGCCTCATAACATTCCTGCATTATCTCCTCGTTATCAGGCCTCGGTCAACATTTTTATTGTCTTATAATATCACATTTTTGATGAGCAGGAAGCATTTTTCTTTTTACCATAAAGCTATTCTCAGTTACTTCCTATACCACCAACTCCACAGTGGTTGTTCTGATAAAAACTAAAATGAAGACATCCCTGTCCAAGGTTCTGGGTCACGGGAGTAGAAAACAGCTGATTGTGATTGTTGCCTTCCACATTCAGCCTTTTCAGTTAATTATCTTGCTAAAATTGCTTGGTCCTGGTATTCCTGGCATGAGTTTACAGCATGGTTAAATGGACTGAGCTGGGCTACGGGAGAGAGAGACTAAACCTATTGCATTGTTTCTGTGTGCTCCCATATTAGATTACAGAGCATGACTGGACATGGCAATCAGGTTAGCTGAGGCAAGTCAAGCCTCCTCCATGCCCACACATCTCTCCTGACCCTGCAGCTCTGATACCGTGTGACTGCACACCCCGCTCTTTGCCTGGTGTTGAATAGCAGCGATGTGTTCGGAGAGCAGTGTATGTAGGAGGGCTGGGTAGTTGTGAGCCTGTAAGGCATTTTTCTTGTGTGTGTGAAGGATTTCCCAACATTTTTATGAGGATAAAGATACATCTTAAGTGTACAATTAATGTACAGCTTACAGTCTGTTTCTTTGAGTTATAAATTGACATGGAGAACAATTGAAAAAGTAACCATTAACAGCAGATACTGTGCAGGGTTGCAGATGTTTTTTAATGACCACACACACACTAAAGAGAGAAGTTATGGTGTGGTTGTCCAAAATAAATGTCTCCCCTAAAACTCTCTTTGGTTCTAGGAAACAGTGCCAGCTGGGGACTCAGGGCCACTTGGAGAAAAACAGTCTGCTCAGCACACAAACATATTGTTCAAGCACGTAGTCAACTGTACAGACTGTGATTCTTGAGAGTGCGCACACACACACACACACACACACACACACACACACACACACACAGGGAAACACGCACATGATCATTTCCTTTAGAGCGAACAGCTTTTGCCACATCTGCAGAACCTTGCTGTGACCCTGTGTCAACTCATTGTGAAAAACAAACTGGTTGTTTTAAACAGAGGGGGATTTTTTTTTGTTTTTGTCAACTCATCAGTTGTACATGACAGCAAATAATGTTGCATGGTTGCTATAAACTTTGTACCGGTTTGCTTTGATCAAAACATGTTGATTGCTATCAAACACAGAAAGTAGTAAACCAGTTCAAGTTGTAGTCTGCTCCGTAAACTTTATGAAAGACAATATAGAGGATAATTGTGGGGCTTTTAGTTTGTGTGGCCAAAGGGGGGCACTAGTGTCACTAAAACCCCTCTACATTATCAGGTGACCCCTCATAACCAGTAAAGGTCTTGTGGGTGTGTATTGGGAGGGATTTCTAGAGGCCTGAAAAGGTGAAAATATGTTTTTTTCTGTGTCCATCCGATTTATCTTTGGGGCCCATGGAGGATCTCCAAAAAGATGGAGGGTATTGACTGGGTTAGGGTGGATCCAGGATGTATAACATCAGAAATCCATGTCAATAAGAATGTGATTATGTTAATTATATTGATGGTTTCTTTCTCTAATAGACTCCAAACACACTTGGACAGAAGAGCAGGTCAAGCTGAAACAAAGTCCCTCAGGCAGTTTAGTTTGTTGTTTTAGTAAATGAAGAGAGATAAAATGAGATACAACTACTAGGCTAAATATGAAGCTACCAGCAGCCGGTTAGCTTAGCATAAAGTATGGATACACCTAGAACTATATTTGTTGGCAAATCCAGATTCTATAGTTAAATACTGCTGAATTTGGAGTGTTTAGATACTGTAAATAGAACTTGAAGAAATAGTTTGTTCAGCACTGCTTTGCTATTTGCTTCTGTAACATGATAGCTTGTTGACCTAGCATTAGCCACACACACACACACACACACGGCAGTACAAAGCAAAGCCTGAATTCGATACATTTTGTTGTCCAGGCAACAGGCCGTTCAATTGTAACCATGGCAGTGGAGACCTGGCTGCGTGTCATCGTCCCACTCGGGGTTTGTCATGTAAATGATCTGCTCCACTGCTGCCCAAATGAAAAAGGTAAACACAGTGATTTGTTTAACAAGATTCAAACTTTATTGGCTTTACATCGTGAACTAAAAGGCAACACTAGAAAACAAGGCACAAAATAAAAAGGTTTGAGAGAGCAAGAAAGGAGCACAAAGTAAGCACAAAACATTTCAGGAGGCTTTTTGGGGGCAGCTGCAAGTGTCTACATGTACAGTCTGTGTATGTCAAAGCCAGAAATATAGTACCGACAAGACCGCTGGCCTCTAACACAAAAAGGGAAAAGATTTGGCACTACAATGAGCCACGGGGCAAAAAGGAGTGAATCAAAAAGCTTTTCACTCGTTGCTCTTGGAGTTGAACACTGCGAGGCTGAAAACTGAGGAAAGCCCTCCATGAACAAGCAAACTTAAAATCCTACTCGACAGAAAACAAGTCATTCAGTAAAACAATTGAAAATTACAAGCCCTCACATGACCGTTTGCATGATGGAGGAAGTGTTGCAGTTTATTACAACGTGCTGTGTGATAAGTTGACCAGGCCACAAACCGCGCATCTAGTTTAAAACCACTCATTAGCTGGTTTAAAGCCATTTCAGCAGCATTTAAAACGCCTATAATTCTATTGTGCGATTGGTTGAAATGTAGGCACTCAAATGCTAATAAGGGCCAACCGTCATGCATCCAACGCACTCACTTTCCAAACAAAAAGCAGCCTGGTGATGGCCTGGGCAGCTTGTCACTAGCAAACACTCTGTGGGTTTTGATCAAGAAGTTAAGGCCGAGCAATGACGAAACAGACATTTAAGCAGAATACAACACAGAGAACCACTTCACAGGGGTCTGAAAGTGCTGAGTCACATTATTTAATAGGTGTGTCATATTTTACAAACTACAACTATAGATGGGTATTAACTGAATAAGGCACTTTTCCTTAAGTGGTGCACTGACCGAGTTAGTTAACTTGTCGCCGAAGCTGCGGAGAGGCAACACAATGGACATCTATTGGTACCAGAGGTGTTTTGGACTCGTCACGATGTCAACACGTGACGCCGTGTTCTTGGGGAATGCAGCCACCGTGTCAACAGCGTGAGAGCACTTACGCAGCACGCCACTCAACAGCTGTGACTAAAACGCAAAATGTTTCTCTTAATTTGGGGGCGAAGGCTCTCCACAGCTGAGGCGAAACTCTGGAGCCTTGTCGCCGTAGTTGGGTCTTTGGGCTGTAGCCTAATGCCACCAGGTGACTCGGTTAAAAGGCGTGTTAACGGTGAGCAGCAGGAAACATGTAATCCTAAATTATGAAAACAAAAAAACATTTGCACACTCATACATTTGTTAAGGTCTGAGGCCATACAGAACAAGGTGATTATTCATCCATTATCTAGTAGATATTCAAGACTGAGTATTTATACAAGCATCGGGATTTTTTTCGGGGAGCTGAACCATGAAAACATTTACAAAGTTACAAAACAAAGCTTGTCAGTGCAATGCTCAATTTCCATGCCAAAACTGAGGACATTGGCTCAAAGCACACAGTTTCAAGGCATTCTTTCAACTAGCATATTGGCTAATTAACAAAGTGGTTTTAAATTGTCTAAATCCTTTAAGAGCGTATGCAATGGGAGGAAGAGCCACAACTCCAAGCATCCAGCATGCAATAATGAAAAGAAAGCATTTAACAAAAACATTATCGACACCGACGAGCCTCTACGAGCACAATGTACTGATAAACACTCCTTCATTTAGCCTTTCCTCAAGAAGATAAAACAAACAGGACGTGGCTATGTACAGGAGGGACAAAATGGAAAGAAATAAAAATCACACAGTTAGCAGCGAGCTAATTGGAGAATGCAACATGAGCTCATGAGCAGTTCTGCACTTCGATCACAATACTCTCATTTACACGGCAAAGTCAGAAATCAGAGGCGCAATGCTCATTTGAACAAACAAACAGTCCAACATTTTTACCTCAATGCACTCTCTGCAATACTCAAGTTATTAAATTAGGCCCAATACGTTTTTTGCCATTTCTCTAAAGTTGCATTCCCTGATTCAACAGCACCTAACGGCGACCCAAAATGTCCTGCAAGCTCATCGCTCGTGTTCTGAGATTGATAATAAAACATGAATAGGTGACGCGGTAGGATATTTGGGAGCAGTGTTGGGCGCTACAAAAAGGGGGGAGAGCACTTTAAAATATTCATTTATACAAAGTCAGTGAGTCAGTGAGAAGACCATAGGTTTCATGTACTGAATATATAGTCCTCTACTTTATAGGGAAAAACTTCAATCTCCATTGATCAAGGCCCTCAGATTACATCCATTTACTCCATTCCTCAAAATACAAGGCTCTTCAGTCCAGCTGGGATACAACGGTTCTCCCCAATATCAGCACAGCGATACCGCTTCTTTCTTAAAAACGAAGCTGATAACACCTGGGCCTCCTCTTCCTCTTCTCTCTTTAAGTCATACCGGACATTAAAGGCACTTCACTGCTATCACTGTCCACATCAAGAAGGTGCATGCCATTTTCTGTATCTCCCCCTTCTCTGTATTAAACATTATTAAAACATATTCATTGTTAATATTCTACAATCTTTCATTTTGACCCACAGGCCCCTTTTTTGACCTCCCCACAGAAATTCGGGCAAAGGGCCATCTCCACGTTAGCAGTGGGTACGTTTTAAAGTTGGTGAAGAAGAAATAACAACCGGGAGATTAAAGGATGGGAAATGAACTTGATATGGGATTATTGCATTGATCTGCTCTACTGGCAGCACTCCTAAATGCCATGGGAGACACCCAGATTAGACTGTTTACCAGAAGGACGGCTATTTGTTTTAGTCTGATGTCAGATGATTGGGTGTTGCTTTTATTCTCTCGTAGATACATCATGTATAAACACACATACACGACGCAGCTGCTCGGGGGGGAGGGGGGGGTGCAAAACAGGCTAAAAGCAATACTGAATCATCACAGCCGTCGCGTTAAAGAACAAGCTGTGAACTCAAACAGTGTTTCCAAATCAAGACAAAAACTAAATAAAAATGTAGATGCTACCAGTTTGCAGCCGTACTACTCCTGAGCATCACCAGGAAAGCTGCTTTGGGAACATGAGTAATTCTTTAACTCTCATGTGGTGCATTGAATTGAGGAGGCCACGAGGAGAGGGGCTGTAAATAACACAAACCCCCTCAATTCACTAGGATAACTAACGGCATGATGGAGGTGGGAGTAACTATCAGATTATGTAATCCCTATGCTCAAGGATAAAAACACCATGTTCCCGGAGAGTTAAATTATCATACATAGAGGCCTTAGTGTGTGTGTGTGTGTGTGTGTGTGTGTGTGTGTTAATACAAACTACAACAGCAGGGCTAATGCAGGCCTAAACCACAAGTGGCACAAACATTGAAGATCTAGAACACCCTGCTTGAAAACACTGTTCGAGTCCACCGTGATGAGTGCATGCCGAGTGGGGAGTCTTCTCTGCAAGGTTGTAGTTGGTGGGGATCGGTCGAGTGATGTGGATCCAAACGTGTGGCCGCTTCAAAGGGTGTGGTAGTTGCGGTCCTTGGACTTGCAGAACTTGTAGAGGAAGAAGATCACGGCCTGCAGGCCCAGGATCAGCACTATTCCACCGATGAAGCTAGCGGCGTCGAAGGTGTTCTTGTGAGGGGCGGGAGAGGGGGCGATCGGGGTGGAATTGGTGCTGGGTCCCACTGTGTTGAAAGGAAAACAAAAAAAAATATGTCATTATTGTGGTTTATGTACACATAAATGTTCTTGCTCCATCACAATGTCAGGATTTCTTTCCACGTACTTGAAGTAGGGGATGGAGCCGTAGGGATGGAGATGTTCCCACTGGGAGTCGGGACGAAGGTGGTGGAATTCATGGTCGTATGGCCTGTAGTGGGGCACAGTGAGAACGCATCCTTTAACCTCCACACCGTTTGACTTTAAGCCATTTTACTTTTAAAGACGTTTGAATTTGTAATCCTTAAGATTTCTGTCCTGGTAGTTACTCATGGCATTAGTAAGTACCCTTTAATACTTAAGTAAACACTTCCTCCGATTCCCTCATGATTTCTTTTTTTAAATAAACCACATAGTATTTCTTTCTCTATCTGTACTATTGCGGTCTTAGTGCTGCTGCAGCAACAGAATTTCAATAAAGATTTAACTTATCTTGAAGCTATGTCAATAAAAACTATTAACAAGACCACTTCAAACCGTACATGCTGGACACCACGGACTAAAGCAGGTTGCAGCAGAGGGTATTAAGGACTGGTTACCTGTTGTGGGCTGAGGGCTGCTGGTGTTAGGGTTGGTGACGGAGACAACAGGGACAGGGGAGGTTGGGTTTTCTACAGCAGGACAGGGAACGGGGACGGGGTGAAAGGAGTAAAGCAAGAGACACCACACAAACAACAATGGTGAGAAAAGTACACAACGCTCCCTCATCATTTCTCCTGGGAAAGGTGGAATTAGTATTTTGGGAAACAAACAAAAGCCGAGAGAGACGGCGCCAAAGTGCAGAGACTGACCATTATCAGACACCTCAGTTAAAACGCTGCTAAACCCAAACAGAATCTGCAGATTTTAATAATGCATTCATTTGTGAACAAATATGGAGTCTACCGATTCTCTTCGAGCCTAAAAGAACATGTTAATATACAAAATGTTAATTTCCCCCATCAGATATTTTACACCACTATGCTGTTTGACTTACCTGAGCAGCTGACTGGGGTGCAGGTCACATTATCTGGCAGGAGAGTCGTGTTGTGACAGCTAACAGTTACTGCGAGAGACAAAAGTATCGCGGATTAAAAGCCCGGATTCGTGCTCTAGACAAATTCGGTTTCCCCAAGCGAACAGAGTCGACTTCAGTGTCTTATGTTGGCAAGAGCAACATCACTCAAGTCTGAGCCTGCTAGTTTGAGCCGACGACTGGACTCATATAATCTGGCAATATGAGATCATGGCTCAATTAATTTATGTCATGTAAAATACATTTTTATTCATAAATAAATCAAATATTGTATATTTAGAATGTTAATCGGCAAAGTAAATAGTGACAAAAATGTCAAATAAATGTGTTTCTTTTTGAAATTATAATTATAGATAGATAGAGATATATATAGATATAGTGAGTAGAAGAATAAAGTACCAGAAATTAGTAAAATACAAGCCCCTTATAATTGTATTTGCATACAGAACTTAAATGAATACAGTAAATGAACTTAGTTTAATCCACCACAGTTTAAGACTTATTTGTTTTCTGAATGGTCAGTTCTCTGACTCATAGCTTGATCATCGAGGTGTATTCTCTCTTATTGTAAAATCAGATTATTAATTAACCATGACAGAAGGGGACTTTGCCCCGCCATGAAGTTCCGCCTGTCCCAAATACTCGACAAGAACTCCAGATACAGACGTAGCGGCGATTGTGTTGTTTATCCATTAACCTTAAAACAGAATTTGACTAAATTACAGACATGATTAACCATCGAAAAATGAAATTCTATCGGTTAAAACAACACAGAAAGGTCTATGAATGCGTTTGTTTCCTTTAATGGTTCAACTCTATCACAGTTAGGACAGCATGAGTCACGACAGACAGCACCTTGTGACTATAGCTGCTTTTCACACCCGGTTATATCACTCCACTGCTCTTGTTATAGCGAAACACGTCAGAAACTATTTGGAGGTATCTTCCTTTTTCTGTTTTTACATTACACGCTTGTTTGTTTGTTTGTTTGTGATAGATAGATAGATAGATAGATAGATAACATCACAATCCAACTTTAGGTCATGGATTCAGCGACGCCTTCACTTGTCTCGGTCCGATCTGGGACGACATTTTACAGGTCGTAAATCTTTAGGTCTCCAACGATACGGAAGTATTATTCCCCATAAAGCTTTAATAATAACTATAGTGACAAGAGAGGCCATTAAAGACCTTTGTGTTGATAAAAAAATAGCTCTTGAATTTGTTTATTATATGAGCATATGGGAGCATTATCATCCTGGCTTACAGGAACATCATAAAGGGAACTGCGTCTACTCAATGTAAGGGCACCTGGTGCTGTAAAACAAGTAACGACTCACACCAGATGGCCGCCCATAAATTACAGATACAGCAATTTTAACAGTAAAGGCTGCAGCCATTGTTGAAAGCATCTTCTGGCTTTCTCCAAATAGGGTCAAAAATGACTCACCAGCCCGTGTTACCTTCTCCACAGTGAAGAAGGTAGTGGCCTCGGAGACAAGCAACTACCCAACGGCCGCGCTGACGTAATTATTAGTTTGTGGAGCCCATGATGTAAAGTTTCTGTGTCGCTCGGCTGTTGGTTCAATTATATTGAGGCCATGGTTTTGTGCTATTCGGTAGCTAATCCGTCCACCATTGTTCCTCTTTGTCAATGCAGCTTCTCCCTGTTTTATATCAGATTTCACAAACTGCTACAGTTCTGCTACGGCTGATCAGGAAGTAAGCACAAGAAATAAGCTGCCTCATTTATCTTAAACTCAGAAAGGGAAACTTTTTAAAAGCTGGAAACGTAATGACGTAAAGACATCAACGATCAAGTCATTACGAAAGTGTTGGCTGCATTATTTTTCACACACTCTGTGTGATCCGACACTGAGATCGATGTATGTTGAAGCATGTTGGAGGAGGGTTTTTGTTTTTTTCACTCCCCGGTAGGTCACTCACTACTCAGAGGGCTGTTATCTCGCAGGCAGCTGTGAACGGTAGGACTGACTCTCACCCTTTTCCAAGATGGTGACATCATGATCATCATACACAGCTTGCTGAAGCTAAAGGTGTGAGTGAAAGCCTCCACACAAAACAGCGTCTTGGTTTAACAGCACTCCACCAGCTTTGTCACAAACTACAGCCTGTACTTAGAGGCGCTACGGAACTTGCGTGTACACGGGTAAAGTTCTTGAGTGTTCAAACACTGGGCTGCAGGGAAATGTGCTTCTGACGCCAAATGCTTGTTTACACAACTTCCCTAAACCGAAGATAAATGTGATGACACTGCGGCAGCAGCGCGGTTATGCTGCGCTTCAGGAAAGCCATCTCGACAGGTCAGAGCTGACCTTTCATATAAAATAGGCGATCCATTCTTGGGTTTGTGAAAAGGCTTCAGCTCTCGTCTTACTTTGTGAGCAGTCAGTGTTGTTCAACACTGTTGGGCCTGTTGTGTCCTGTGTAGTAGGCTGGTGAGAGACAGCACTGAGAGGAGTCTTTGGGTAGAAAAGACACGTTTTCCACCACGACACAATATAAAAACCAGCCAAACCTCCCTGAAACTTTTAACAAAGACTCCTTATCTTGTTTACAATAACATCCGATGAGCATGGTAAAAAAATAGCTGCTGATCAAATCTTACTCGTACAATAAAAACAGACTATGTTGATCAAAACTTGTGAAAATGACAACAAACGTAATACGAGAACAGATCAACATATTTGGGTTTTTTGTGCTTACGGGTGCTGTGTTTTCCTCACGTGCATTAAATGTAATTGTAAACCTCTATGGGAAATACAACAGGTTTATCCTGTCTCCCTCGGCTCTGAGAGGACGTGCATAATTGCCGTCTCACCTGTCCTGTTCAACAACTTAATGAATCATTGCGTAATAAGAGGGACAGCCAGAGACAAAGCAGACAGAGTGTGTGGGATCAACAAATCTCTATACGCCCTTTGGGAGAATCACAGCTGGTTAGATTGTCAAACAAGTCAACTCCCTTGAGAGGTAAAATGTTTGCCCTACTTACATTAACTGTTGTTGGAGCAAAGCTTAATGAATGTGAATCTGCTAGACCACCAACTAGTAATGCAGTTAGGATTATTAGTTATATTTTGTACGAGATCACAGAACACTTTTGCCGAGAACTGCACCCGAGGCACACATTACGAGAACAAGTCACATGAACCTAATCGTTTCCTTTAACTCTCCTTTCTTCTGCTCCCCAACGTGAGGATATTGCAGGCTTCCTGTTGCACATCCACTAGCTTCCTCTCCTGTTTATCTTTTACGCAATCACATGAGACCCGTGTGTGTATGTGTCTGACCACACACACACACACACACACACACACACACACACACACACACACAC